GAGCCGGGCGGCGGAGAACCGGACCCGGCGGCAGCTGCAGCACCAGGGGCTCTTGCTGACCCGGGCCAACCACAGCCTGGCTCTGCTGCAGACGGAGAGGGAGAGCGCGGAGGCCAGCCTGAGCCAGGCCACCTCTTGCCAGCAGATCGGTACGTTCCTGGCCCTGGCTCTCAGGAGGCTGCCAGGGCTGGGGGAGCCTCCACAGCCCCTTTCTTGCTGCTGGGGGAGCCCTTCAGGTTTGCGTGAATAGGAAACAACAGGAAGGTTGCTGAGGGTGCCCCACAAGCTACAACTTGGCTCTTCTGTAGCCACTTTGGGGAAAACCTAGCACCAGCTGGGGGCAAGGGGACAGAGCAATCGCCCTCCACAAGGTGGTAGGCAAATATTTCATGGGGGAAGGAAGTCCTCATCAGGGCCGGCAGTTTGGCAAAGTAGGTGAAGCTGCATCGTAGTCAAGGGTGGGGTCAGGTTTTTCTTTTTTTACTTTGAAGGATCTTCAAAATCATATTTAGGCTTCTGTGACGGTTGTGGTGTGTTTCTTGCCTGCAAATGGGGAACATGACCACAATCCCAGGATTGGAAGGACCTTGGAGACCTCCAGTCCAACATCTTGCCCAAAGCAGGGATCCTCTGATTGTCCCAACAGATCGCTGCTCAGTCTTCATTTGAAGACCTCCAGTGATGGAACCTTCCATAACGCCACTGCTTAACAGGCCTCACCGTCAGGAAATTCCCCCTTACTTTGAGTTCGGATCTCCCTCTGTAAGGCTTTCACCCACTAGTTCGGTATTTCTCAACCTTGGCCACTTTAAGATGTGTGGACTTCAACTCCCAGAATTCCCCAGCCAGCATGGGAGGTGAAGTCCACTCATTGAAAAGCGGCCAAGGTTGAGAAATACCGAACTAGTTCTCGTCCTGTCTTCAGGCACTGTGGAGAATAAGTCCACACCCCCTTCCCTGGGGCTCTGCCGTGGCTCCTTTAGCCTTCTCTGCTTTAGGCTGAACATGCGCTGTTCTTTAAATAGTTCTTATAAGAGTTAGCCTCCAAGCCCTTCATTGTCTCCGTTCTGTTATTTTCTACTGTATCTATAATATTCAGGTCTTTTCTAAACTCAAATCCCAGTTCTGGCCTCTCTTACCTGGGAACAAGTCCCACTGCACACACAAGCTAGGTTTAGGCGCAGTTCACTGAACCAGGTTAAGCTCCCCCTGGGATACCCTGAACCTTCCATTAACCCTGCTGGCTGGAGCTGGGCACCGTGCTAGGCTAAAGCGTGATTGTGTGAAAATTGCCAGTTCCAAAGGAAACAGGATGGAGCCCTGAATTCCTGGGAGAATGACCAACATCTGGAAGCCCAAGCCGTGAGTCTTCGTTGGCTATATCTATTACACAGCTTGTTTAACCAGCTCCATTGAAGTTGGGGCAGAAAGACAAGGCCACCGATGAAGTTGGTTACTTGTGGTTTGGCATCTTGTGAGAATCAGCCTCTTCAGTCTGAAGCATTGTGCAAATTCTGAAAATGGGTTAATTCTGGAACTGGGTGTGGCATCTTGTGTGACCACAGCCTTTCAAAGCAACCCTCTCTTGCAACACTGGACGTCCCATTCCACCTCCTTCAGAGGACCTAGTGTCTGTCAGAGAGATTTGGTGTTAGGAAAAGCAGCCCAGGCCCCTCCCTTTACTCTGGAGGAACCTCCTCCTCTCGCCAAAGGAGAGTCACGGGCCGAGGCTGGATCTCTGTCCATCTGTCCTTGTCCCTTCTGCCCTCGCTCTCCTTCTTGGCTCTTTGCTGTTTCCCTTCTTTTGCTCCTGTGATCTGGGCATCCGTCAGCTACTCAGCTTTGCATCCTCGTTTTATGCAAAGAAAATGTAGGGGGCCGCAGGGGGCCGGGCAGGGAGGCCTCTGAAGAGCCAGGGCTTCTGTCCCCAGCCAGCCGGCCTCAGGTGGTCCTTTGGGCTGCAGGTCTCTCTCGTCACCAGCAGAGGAGGTCGCGCCAGCCTTGCAGGGAAGGGAGAGATGACGCCCTCCCTAAAAATGGCAAGCGGTTTGTCCACCCTGATACATTAATTCCCCTTGAAGACCAAAGTCCTCCTGCTGCTGCTTTGCTTTTCTCCCCTGCAATGGCCTCCAGGCTCATGGGTCCAAGGAGGGCATCCGTCCAAGGGGTAACCTGCAGCAGGAGAGTCTTGGCGGTCCTGGAGGGGGTCCTGCGCCAAGCAGGGGCTTAGCGCCCACGGCTAAGGTTCCCGCACCCCTTGCAGGCCTTGCCCGTGAGGACAGAGAGGGCTGTGGGGAGGGCTATCCCTGTCGCCCAAAGCACACAGTGAAGGGAAGGAGGATAAGCAGAGAATAAGGTGGGTCATTCCTGAAAGCAGCTCCAAGAGCTGAAATCCCCCTCCAAGAACGGCAGGCGTGGTGCTTCTCCTCCAGACCTGACAGGAAGGAGGCAGAACGCGCAGCTTCCTTGGAAAGCTGCCGTGAAGCCGTGTCTCAGGAGCTGCTTGTGCGTTCGTGCCAGAAGCCAAGAGTCGCCTTCTAGGGAAGCCCACATTCCTCGGCCCTTCTGCCCAGAAGGTGGGATGCAGAAAGAACGGGAGCCGGTCTGGAAATTCTCCACGAAGACCAGGGACTTGGCGGATTCAGGGACTGCCGGCTATAGCAGCTTCTCTGTTGCCCCGGCTGCGAGCAAAGGCTTCTGGGAGACGCGCTAGGGCAGTGTGGCGTTTCTCTGACCTCCTGCCTCCTTCTCCAGGCTGCTGTCCCCAGGGATGGAAGCTCTTTAGATGGAAGTGTCTGCGGGTGTCCCTTACAGAGGCCAGGTGGGAGGACAGCAAGGCGGCCTGCCAGTACGCTTCGTCTCAGCTGCTTGTTCTGCACAAGCCCTGGGAGGCTGCTGATGTGTGGGATGCTGGGGTGAGTAACAAGTGCCTCGCATGCAGGATGAAGGCTGTGGGGCAGCCTGTGGGTCCCAAAGCAGAGGGGGGGACAAGGGGATTTGACCAAATCACACACCATTCCTTGCTTCTGTTTTAATTTGCTGTGGAGGGCGATCATGAAGACACAAGATGCATTGATTGATTGATTGATTGATTGATTGATTGATTGATTGATTGATTATGTGCCATCAAATCAGTGCTGACTCTTAGTGACCACATAGGTAGACCTTCTCTAGGACTATGAGTAATAATCTTCCGTGGCATGTCACACAAATATTTGTTTGTTTGATATAATTTAGAGACTGCCTGATTCCAGATGACTCTGGGCAGCCTATATTTTAAAAAGTAGGAGCAATTAAAAGAAGAGACCAATCATAAGCCCCCGGAAGACAGACGCGGAATTGCAATATAGCACCCCATACTGTGCCTCAAGGCCGGGGGAATAGCCAAGTCTTCCGTGACTTTCTGAGTGTCATCAGGGTGGGAGCCGTATGGATCTCCGGAGGGGCTGGGGCTGTTCCAGAGGGCAGGCACTGTGGCAGAAAAGGTGCACTTCCGAGGTCCCAATAGATGGCACTGCTTAATGGAAGGGACCCAAAGTGCTCCCACTCTGCCCAATCTCACCAGCTGGGCAGAAATCACGGGAGATAGGTGGTCCCTAAAATACCCAGAGCTTATGCCATGAGGGCCTTATAGGCGATAACCAGCACCGTGAATTGCATCCAGAAGTCAGTTGGTAACCAGTGCAGCTCGCAAAGCAGTGGGATCACATGGGTACACTATGGCACGCCCATTATTGCCTGCGTCGCTGCATTCTGAGCTTCTGAGTGGTCTTTGCACAACCAGCGCATTAGATGAATCTGCTTTGGTCTTTCTCAGTTGCGAGCCTCCAGTCACCACTGTCATTGCCTGAAAAAGAGCTTTTGGTTGGCTTGGGCCCTTGTATCTCATTCCTCCATCCCACCGTCCCCTGGTTTCCTTCTGTTCTCTGGGAGACCTCTTGGTACTGTGGTCTCTACGCAAGTGTTTTCTGTGTCCAATTCAAGAATTCTCTGCCTTCCCTGATAAGTTGGGAGGTAGATAGTTTTGCCACCTGCACTTGGAGGAAAAACAGCATCACACATCCCCCTTGGCCTCCCCCACTGAATATCCCTGCCAAACTTTTGTTCCTTTGCTCTCTGGGCACTGGCTTCCTTATATCTCCCCTAGAGCAGCCTCAGCTAGGTCAGGAGCAAGCAGTCTTCCTATTACAAACAACTGGCAATCAGCCGCAGTCTAGAAACAGTCAGCGGCAGGAGCATCGGTCAGTCAGTCGCCTCTTCCTTTGCCTCTTCCCCTGCCCACCAATCTCCCCCACCACCCACCCCCTTTGCTGGGTCAGTCAGCTCCTAGCTTAGTTTAAAGGTCAGTAAGGATGGAAGTGGGAGGTCCTGATGATTCACTTCAGGGTCATGATCCAGGAAGACAAGCAGGGATTGTTGGGGCTGAGATTCCCAGCCCCTTCCTAGTAATGCCGGGCAAAATTCCTGTTTTTCTCCTGTGCAAGAAAGAGAGATTTGCAAGCCATTTGCGAGTGACACGGGGAGCTTCTTCTCTGGGATGGAAGTGGGGATGTGACTGCTGGGCATGAGAAAGTCCTGCTCATCCCTTTCCATTCTTAGGAGCGTAATTAAACGTGTATTTAGATCAAATATCCAGTATGAAATCAGTGTTAATGTAATCTCACTTTTTGTCATGGCTTCCAGGAGTGCTTCTCTCTGGGCATCTTTCAACCATCCAAGGGGTCGTAGCGGTGCATGCCAGCCCCACCCTGACCCCACCAAAAAGCCCCTTCCCCAGGCAGCTCCTGCACACGTGGTGTGTGATTTCCAGCGCTTCCTGTTCAGCTTCACGGGTCAAGGGCACAAGAGCTCAGCTCAGAGGGCCCCCCCGAGAAAACGGCACCGTGTTTCCATCTCTGCTGCCATGGGGGCCCCTTCCCTGGGAGGGCAGGACTTCCTTCCTAGGATTTCCAGTCACCTTGTGCTAAAGAAACACAGCATAGGTATCTTCACCCAGCGTCTGTCTTTTTTGTTTCAGAGCCCTGAACAATCAAATCATTACTGGATTGGCCTAAAAAAATCACAGAATGGCTTCCTGTGGGTTGATCAAACACATAGCCTTGAGAATTACTCAGTCAGGTGAGTCGTGATCTCCTAAAGACCACTGTGAGAATCTGTGGTCACTTTTCATGGCACGCGGTCTTTGCTCCTGAACCAAGCTGCCTATTCTCGCAATTCCAGATTCCCATAGGTTTGGTACCCAACACCATTTTCCAGGGATATCCCGCTGCCGGACCCCATTAGAGTTAGTTAGAGGTTCTCCCCTCTTCTCTGCGTCCGTTGCCCCCTACTTCCCACTCCTGTTCTGTTCTTTGCGTAACGTGGCTTGCCCAGAGGGGAGAGGGAAGGGCTTGGGCGCTTGGCCCCGTGCAGCAAGCAGGGACAGAGTAACACCGCAGCTCTGGCGGAGCTGAGGAAGCTGAGGAGACCGTGCCGGACTGATCAGGGCACGGCCAGCCCAGGCTTTCTCTTCCTCCGGGGCCCCTGATGGGAAGACCACGAGGGGGACGTTGGGCTGGGAGACGCCCTGCAGTTCTGTGGGAAAGGAAAACAAAACCCACTTTTGGTCCTTCTGAAGTTTGGCCACTGAATGTTATCAGAGCTGAGTAAACAAATAACACCAAGTCTGGTGCTTGTTTCATTTACTCTATAGAGAAAATCATCCAGATGCAATGGAGCAGGGTGAAAAAGTCATTGCCCCCCCCCCCAGTTCAATCTGTTCAATTAAAGGGAGGGCAAGGCAAGGCCACTTGTAGGATTTATTAACAACCAGCTGATTTGATCCAACCTGCCCTAAAGAAATCTCAGAAATTGGCTCCTATAACCACACTAATCTTTAGAGGCAAATCGTGACTTCACACACACATACACACACACACACAAGCTTGACTTGTATGAAAAAATACGATACCTATTACTCTGGAAAAGATTACAAATCCATTTCTGAAACTTTGGGGCACCTCCAATCTATATTCAGAGGCACAGTCTTGAAATGGAGAGGATTGTGGACAATAATAATTTCCTCCAAGAATAGCCATCCTGTCCCCCAAGAGAGCAGCATAACATCATCCAGGAACTTACAGGGAACCTCAAGAGGATCCGCAAGCCTCTCTTGCCTTAGCTAAAGACAACGTTAGTGACTCTGCCAAGAGGGCAGCGTTGGGATTCATGGAAAAATATTAAGGTGGAAGCCATGGTGAACTAGGAGGAACATGGATGTTCCTTTCAAGTTTCCCCAAAAGCTCAAGGTCACCTGGAAGACCCTCCAGACCTCTGGAAGAATCATCTTGGGCAGAGGAGTCCACAGTGAAACTTTAGGGGCTGCATAGATGGCCGCAACTTGGGAGTCCGCAGGAGTCGTGCTTCCTGCTTGAGCAGCAGTTGGCGGTCATGGCCACAGGGGCCATTGTCCAGTTCCAGAGAATGCACTAGTCATAGTCCTGCCTGGAGCTGAGGGACCTTGCTGCAGTGACTCATGCCCTCATCACCGCTCAGGTAGGCTACTGCAGCACTCTGCACGGAGGGCTGCCTTGAAAGGCCATTTGCCGGCTGCAGCTGCTTCAGGATGCGGCAGGCCAGGCAGGAACGGGCACGTGGGACCAGGGGCATGTTTCACCTGTGCGTTGGCTCCCAATAAGCTTCTGGGTGCTCTTCAAAGAGCTGGCTTTGACTTAGAAAGTCCTCTATGGCTTGGCGCCTGGATACCACAGCCTCACGTACCGTAACCAGAATCAGTCTGGCAGACAAGTTGTGCCAGGAGATACTGTTGGCAGTACCCCACTTCAAGAAGGGGAGGGCACCGAAGCAACAGGAGTGTTACTCTGCAGTGTCCGCACCTGTTCTTTGGGATAGACTCTGTTGCCCGTTCACAGAGTCGTAGGATCCTGGGGTTGGAAGGACCTTGGGGGTTAGTCCAATCCCCCATCCGGAGAGAGGGATCCTCAGGCCGCCACAGGTGAACGGCTGTCCAATTTTTTCTTGAGAAGGATCCCCCATGACTTCAGAAGGCAGGCTGGGCCATGGCTTCATAGCTCTCCCAGTCAGGAAATTCCCCTTTGTGGATAACGCCGACATCATTGAGGAAAATGTCAACACTGAGCTCTTTCAAAGAGCTTTTATAGACTGAAATGTCACCATCTAGGTTGGATGTGTTGACCTGACTGAAGTTGGCGTGTGCTTTTAATTGATTTATTGTTATTTGTTTATTTGTATTACTTATAGCTACCATGGATGCTTTAATGTTATGTATGCTTGTTGTTAACTGACAGGAGCCTTGGCTGTATATTTATGTATAGAATAAATGAAATAAATAGGATTATTTGTGGCACTGCTTTCGGCAGTAAGAACCTCATCACACCTGCCCAGCCTGGGCCTGGTGGAGTCATAGCTTGGAGATGCTTTGCCGTCTCAGGACCCCGCACAATGTCACGCGGAAGGAAGCAGGAATGCCGCTTTAGGTCTGAGAGGGTCAGGGAAGCTCAAGTGGGTCAAGCCTTCAGTGTTTTGGAATGGCCAAATAAAGTCCAGTGCTGAAGACCACAGAAATGCTGTGGCAGGACCTGAGCTATGCAGTTCATGCCCGAAAACTTACAAACGTTCCTGAGCTGAAGCAGCGGGCAGGGAGGAACGGGCCAAGCTTTCCTCCCAGCAATGCGAGAAGCTGGTCACCAGTTTCAGGAGGCCTCTGGCTGCAGTTCTGGCACTTCAAGGTGGAGCAACCTCTCGCTGAATCAGAGGGCAGGAAATGACTTTTCACACCGGTTCATCACAAGTGGGATGGCCTTGTTTATGAAATAAATAAAAGAAATGCTAAAGGTTGGTGTCATTCTTCAGATTCTCTTTATATAGCATATCAGTAGAATCCACTAGGTTCAGTGGCCAAGTATGCCAAAATCCAGAAAGCGCGCAAGGGAGGGAATCCTCTCTTAAGGCTCGTCCTTGTTCCGGGCAGGACCCAAGACGGCCGTGGCACCTCCAGGCTGTCGAGAGTTTCGGGGCTGCCGTGCGTGGTGCAGCAGCAGCCTTGCCTCTGGCTGGACTCCCCCGCCACCCGCGAACGCCTGGGCGGCTGACCCTCTCTGCGGCCGGCTACCGCCTGGGCCAAGCGGGTGAGGCGGGTGGGGTGGCTCTGCCCCCAGAGCGTCCGCACAGCAGCAGCCGGGAGCAATTCTGTCTTCTCGCCTTCTTTGTCCCCGCTGTTTTCAGGGCCGAAGGAGGCAGACATAGGAAAGACTGCGTGGACCTGCACGAGGGGACTTTGAACTGGTGTCCCTGTTATCTAAGGAAGAGATACATCTGCGAGAAGCCTGCCAGCCCTTGGCCGGTGGACGGAGGGCCGTGAAATGCCCACGTGAGCCTCTCGTTCGGTTTTGCTTTGCTGCCTTTGCTAGACCTGCCCTTTCCCCCATTCCTGTCCACTCGCCAGACTGGGGGCGGCTGTCTAGAGCTGTTAAGCGTAAGTCACGGACGTCCTTATTTTCCAGCACGTTGGTACGATGCTGTTGTGAGTCACGTCTCCTCCCCTAATCGCCCAAATGCGGAGGGAGGTGGGTGGCTCAGCCGGAGTAGCCGGTGTCCGGAGGTGGAACTGCTGGCCGGCGGTCTGCCCTGGAACTCCTCTGCCAGGCAGAGCCCAGAAGGCCAGTTATGGACCGCTGCAGGAGGAGTGTCCAGAGGAGGCCAAAGGCCTGATTTATAACAGCAAGACTCCAGGTTTAGGTCTCAACCAAAGAACCAGCTGGAAGGCTGGTCCGCACAGCCAACTCGCTGGTGGCCCCTTCCCTGGGACCTCTGAGGACGAAGAGGGCCCGTCAGCACCTCTAGAAGGGCGAAAGGAGGTGCACGGATGCCGCTCTGGTGGGAACCAATGCTACAGCTGGGAGCAAGGGCGGGCCCCATTTCAGCATGTTCCTGCTGTGCTCCCAAGAGCAATCTTCGCGCAGCATGTGAACCTCAGAGGAGCCCTGCTGAACCTGGTTTGACACAGTCCAGCATTTTGTTTCTTGCCGTGGCCATCTGTGGGTGCTGAATGCTGGACTAAGACGGGCCTAGGCCTGATCCAGCATGGCTCCTCTTACATTTTTCGCTGTGCAGAGGCTGAATGTCCCTTGGCTGGTATGTCCTCCCCGAATTCCCACTGGTTAGATGGGCAACCATACAAATTGGGGAAATAAATAAGTTAGTAGCCATCACCACATCACAATTTTTGTCTGTGAGCAAGTGCTTCCCTTTGTCTGCCCCAAATCTCCTCCCAGACAGCTCCACTGGTGGGCCCTGATCCTGGGGTTTTGCGAGAGGGAACAAACTTCTCTCAGCCCATATTTGCCAGGGCAGGCCATGCCCCCCCCATGCCTTTTTTTCCAGACAAAAGAGCCCCAAGCATCCTGGCCTTTTCTGGGAGGGAAGGTGTGGATCAGTTTGATGGCCCTCTCCTGTACTTTTTCCAGATGTGTTGATGCCCTTTTCAAGTGTGGTGACCAGAACTGTACCTATTGCTCCAGATGTGGATGTCCCAAAGAACTCTATAAGGCCATTGCAATGTTGCCGGGTTATTTTCAATCCGTCTCCTAATGACTGCTAGCAGGGAATTTCTGTGTATGTGCATAGCTGGGGACCCAGTGAGGACCGCTTTGCGCTTAAGGTGAATTGCATTCACTAATTGGTTAATGATTCCTCCAGTTGAAAGAGATCCTTCTGGAGTTCCTCGCAACTGCTTTTCATTTTCACCACACTGAATTGGTAGCGTTACCCACCAACTTTGCTGTCTTGTCTTCTCCGGGCTACATGAACCTAATGACTCTGACCATTTCTAATAATTTTTCCTTCCAGGATTGCGTTTGCTTTTTCCCCTCTTTGCAGCTGCATCACTGTTGGCTCATGTTCAGCGTGCATGCCGCCAAGTCTCCCAGATCCTTTCTGCGCATACTGTGGCACGTGATGTTCCCCCACCCTGCACTCAGGCCCCAAGGCTTTAACTCCTGTCCAGATGAGGCCTCCCAGATCCAAGGAAGGAGCGGTGCAAGTGTGAACCGCACAGAGCGGTGGCATCTGCGGTCTTCGCCAAGCAATCGCATGTGCCACGCATGCGGTCAGGAGATTCCCCCTTGCACCAGCAGCCTTGAAATCCCATCTCAGCAAGAAGAGAAGGAAAAAGGATCCAAAGCTGGAGGCTTTGCCACTGCTTCGAAGGCAACCAAGGGTCCACGTCCCCTCTCTGGGTAGCGCAGCCACTGGCACGCAGAGAAAGCCCGGCCACCCCAGATCGCGTTTCCCCCAGACCATCTCGCAACCCGTCTCTGGGCAGAGGGAGGACGGAGGGGGCTTCTTGTCCATCGGGCCCAGCAGCTTTAGTGCAGCTTTTCCCTGTCGGCCCTCCCCTGCCCCCCCGCCCCCGACGGCTTGGACTGCCACCCTGCACAGCTGTTGTCCGAACTGACTGAGATGTCCAAAACAGGTGAACAAGCAACCTCTTTGCCCCTGCTCTCTGCCCCCCGGGTTTTCAGTTTCAGGCGGCTTCGTCCTCATTGTTCTGGGCAGTTCATGGAGACAGTGTTGTCCATGCGACGACTGAAGTCGGGTGCCTCTAGCTCACCCTCCCACAACTTGGTGCCTTTCAGATATGCTGAGGCGATCAGTACCAGAATTCCCAGTAGTTACAAACTGGAATAACTTAACCCCTGGCCAGCCCCCTCTTCCAGGGGTTCCCCAAGGAAAGAGAATGTCGGGATCTACGCAAGCAACTATCAAAAGGCTATTAGAAAGTTATTAGAAAATGTATAATGTTGACAAGTATGTGCTAATTAGCTAGTAAGTGCAAATGTTACTTCAGGCAGGAATCGTTATTCGTCTAGATGCTTGCTTGTTCCTGCCATAAAGGGGAAGAGGGGAGATGGAGAATAAACAACAAAGGCCAGGTGTGGTGTTAAGGCTGAACAGCCGTGAGACCAAAGAAGAGGCGCGAAGGAATCAAGCGGGAAAATAGAGTAGAGGGGGGTTAAAAGGAGACCCTGGCCGGGGAGGGTCAGTCTCAGCAAT